AGTGTGTGTGTGTGTGTGTGTGAGAGAGTGTGTGTGAGTGTGTGTTCTCTCACACACACTCACACACAATCTCTCGATTGTAATACTCTCACCTGTATTACATTTTTGTAATACAGGTGATTATTTATTTTTTCCCCCACTGTTTCATATTACCAGCAGGCTATTTTTAGTATATAACCTGTAGTATTGCCGTATATAAGTAATATTGCTAAACGCCTTGGGTTTTTTCCACCTGTTTCCTCACTTGTCTTGTTTCTTTCTTTTGTTTTTTTTCCCTCTCAATTAGAAAAGACCAAAAACCTGCTCTTCAATGGGACCAAAGCCATGATGGGTCGAATCTGGAAGTCCGACGCGCTTGTGTCCGATCCGACCGCTGTATCTCCGGCTCCTGGACATCAGACGCTTCTCAAAGGACAGACACGCATCGGGCTGGACGGACGGTTACAGAGAGCAGACGCTGCTCCAGGTGAATCCATCAGAGCAGAGCAGAGCCAGATGTGATGCGTTCAGTGTGAAATAAAGCAAGAAGCCGTGGTTTACAGTGACTTTATAACAGCTCAGGGGCGTTGTTAGGTACGGCACTATACAATTAAAAAAAGAAAGTATAAAAATTATAAGTTTGTTTACTGTAAAGATAATGTAGTATACCATTTTTATTTTATTTTATATAAAATATTTTATAAAATATTGCGCTCTAAAATTGCTATAAAATCAAAGCCATATGTCTAACCAAGTTATGTTCCACATTTGAAGTTTATATCACCAAAAATTGTGGTTCTTGAGAGATTTTGTTTGGGCGCTATACCAGAAATAACCTCTGGGTTACTCCCAAAATTATATATTTTTTTGTTTTGATGCAGTTTTGTCTCAAATCAATCATTTTCTTTCACAGTATAATTTCTATTATCAAATATGGAACCTTGACTGTCAGATATTTCCAACGATATGTTTTAAGATTACAAAAAAATTGTTAAAAAACAAGCCACTAAATCACTTTTTTTTAATATATATATATATATATGTATATGTTTGTGTGTGTTTTAATATCTTTATTAATCCCCTAAAAGGGCGACGTATCCTCTGAGATACCAATATTTAGAGCCATATTACAAAATATGTAAGCATTTAATTAATAAAATGTCAATGTAAACCTAATAAACTAATGCTGAGCAACAGCTTTTTAAACCGGTAACTCTCCTCCAACAACTGATCAACTTTTATCAGAGGGTGAGTATTTGTGTTGAAGTCTTCGTTTTCTCCCTTAATTAGCATAAAACCCCCACAAACACGGTTCCTCTCTGAATATGAGCCAGATTACAACGATTTGTTCAATTCTCAGCCCATTTTCACTTGTAGAACATTATAAACCTAATCCTGGATTCAAGGTCTGAATTATGGCTGATGACAGAAATAAGTCTTCTGCTGCATCTGTAGGTGATTTACGGTATCTAAACTGCTACAAAAAAGCTTATTTTTCTAATTTTGTGAAGTTAAATTGAATATTTGGTCAATTTTTTTCATTTGTAGATTGTAAATTAAGTGTGGGACGTTTTAAATACCTTTTTGGCATTAAAATTAAACTTGACATTTGACTGCTTTTATTTTGATAAGTGACGCATCATTTGAAATCATTCTTATTTTGTGAAAATTACATGGAAATATATATTTTTTTATATATTAAAAAGGCCTGTGAAATCAAGCACGGACAGTAAAACAACCATAACATACAGATTACAGAATGTTTTACAGTCTTTTAATAACAAAACACATGTTGAGTGCATTTCAAGCAGAGGTTCATCCAGAAACGAGTAAATAAAACTATTTCGTCACCTCATTAAATCCAAACCGTTTGACTAGTTACGGTTCCATTCTTCACAATATAAGTTGTGTACGGAGTCATGTTTGGGATTGCTTGAGGCTAAATGATTGTGGTTGTGTTCAGACTGTCCTTTAATCAACACTGACGATGTTTTGTGCTCTCTTGAGCTGCGGTGACTCTCTGTGTCTGCGTGTGTCGTCAGGTTGTGCAGCGGCTCCTTCAGCGTGTTGTGTGTGTCAGAGGGTCTCGGGTTCGAGGAAGCCGTGCTCTCGGTGCGAGCGTCCCGCGTGTGCAGCGTGTATCCGGCAGTGCAACATCTGCTCCGAACGCTGCTGCTCCCTGTGCACCGTCACCGAGTGAGTCGACCACATTAAACGCTGCTTTTGACTTCCTTTAATGGAATAGTTCACCCAGAAGTGAAAATGTGCTCTCCCTCAAGCTCTTTGAGATGTAGGCGAGTTTGTGTCTTCATCAGATTTGGAGAAATGTAGCATTGCATCAGTGTCTCAGTAACGGATGCTCTGCAGTGAATGGGTGCCGTCAGAATGAGAGTCCAAACAGCTGAT